GCGGGGAATGCCCATGATCTGCCCCTGCCTTCCCTTGATGGCTAACCGTACCACACAGGGCTGCCCCAAAGGGGGCACTCTGGGGGCACACCTGTGGAGAAAGGAAAAAAAGGGGACACCACACAAATAATGTAACATCTCGACCCACACAAAACAATGGTCACAGTAATCCTAGATATAGGCCTGACGTCTTCCCTCGAAGTCCATCTGCCCGTGAGGCAGAGAATGGCAAAAGCCAGTAAAACGGTTGTACACGCAAAACTCAGGTCCAGGTAAAAGCCAAAAGTTCAAGTGGACAATTAACCGGGACCTTCCGCCGGAATTCACAGCCGGTGAACGAAGAAGAAGAAGCTACTTAAACTTGCCCATGTGTGTGAAGCCTTTGGACTGCCAGGAGGGTTTAATTTGTACTCTCTCTCTCTCTCTCTCTCTCTCTCTCTCTCTCTCTCTCTCTCTCTCTCTCTCTCTATCTCTCTCTCTCTCTCCCTCCCTCCCTCCCTCAACCCCCCCCTCTCTCTCTCCCTCCCTCCCCCTCTCTCTCTCCTTGTATGTTTACGCTAACCCGGCAATCGTAGACACTTTTGCGGCATTAGATTGTGCAACATTACCTTGTGCACGTTTGTTGATGTGAACTTTCAACTTGCAAAGATATGCCGGATCTCCTGTGTGTAGGAGGCTAACGGCGTTTAGAATATGTCAGGGTTTTGCGGTTTGTCCCCGTTTCTATTTTCCCAGCCCGGGTCCTTGTAATAGGTTATATATACACATATATATATATATATATATATATATATATATATATATATATATATATATATATATATATATATATATATATATATATATATATATATAGGCAGCTAAGTGCCGTTTTCAAGCCATGGACGAATCGGGAAAGTGCTAACCCATATTCTATTTAGACCAATCGATATTTTATGGGCGATGTGGTGAACGTCATGCTCACAAGAATTTACTTCCCCTGACATTTCCTGGTAATTACCTGTTTTAGGCTGGCTCGACCTGAAGCCGGTCTGATAAAATGAACTTTTGCTGCACTGATTATGTTTGGTTGTGTTTAACGCGTCTGGCTAATATTATAATTTTGCTTTGTTTTGTATAAGTAGTAAAACGCGCTTGTGTTCCTCTATTGCTATCAAGAACATCCTATTCCGCCATATGTCTATTCTCCGAGCGGACCCAGTAACCAACGCTGTGTTTTCAGAGACACCTCTACTGGCATATAAGCGGGACCGCAACCTCAGAGATTTACTGGTACACAGCAGAGTACGGGGACCCGCCCCAACTCATCCGGGCACTAAGGCTTGCCTTAGATCTCAGTGCAACACCTGCCCATACGTGCTGAATACTTCAGATGTGACTTTTCCGAAAGGCACTTTTAGCATAAAAGAGGAATTCACCTGCACTAGTAGGAACGTCATCTATGCTATAATCTGCAAACGGTGCAACATCAAGTACATTGGGGAAACCGGTCTTCGCTTAGCCGACAGGTTTCGCCAGCACCTTCATGACATCACTAACCAAACAGCCAGGCCAGTTTCCACTCATTTCAACAGCGGTGACCATCGGGGGACCGCTGACATTCAGGTCACGGCCATCAGATCCTGCTCGTCTGACGATCGACATCGGAAAACTTTGGAAAACCGACTTATATATTTGATGGGTAACCTCTCCCCACTAGGCCTTAACACCCAACATAGCTTCGTATAAATTACCAGTGTCCCGGTAACGCACCCTTATCCCCTCCCCCTCCCCACTACACCCACGCCCATCCCACGTTAGTTTCTGACTGTCATGATATTCCAGTTACATAGCATGAGGGTTATCCCCTAGGTCTCGACAGATGATGTTGCTGGTTGCTTGACACTACAGAATTTACTTGGATACTAGTCTCTCTCTCTCTCTCTCTCTCTCTCTCTCTCTCTCTCTCTCTCTCTCTCTCTCTCTCTCTCTCTCTCTCTCTCACTCACTCTCTCTCTCACTCTCCCTCCCCTCTCTCTCTCTCTCTCTCTCTCTCTCTAGGTATATACCAAGTTTTCTCTGGTCTTCCCTCTCCTTACTCTTCTCCCCTGCCTCTCCCCCTTTCTGTTTTGTTTCTCCCCTACCTTCCCCCCTCTCTCTCGTTCTCTATCTTCTTCTCTTTTCTCTCTCCCCTATCCATACAAACTTTCATTCATCCATTCATTTTTCCTCGTTACATATGGAGGCACTGTCCTAATGTGGAACAACTTCGTGATAGTGTTGGAACGCACTCCTCCTATTCAGTGTACATATCTCGTTTTGACTACCGAGAGGGTAAGTATGTGTACACATTGGGGGTATGCACTTCTGACTCGACAGATATTGGGTATAACAGTCATCCTTACTGTCTCTGTGTGACATCTGACAGTCAGATAGAAGCACTGCATCACTAGACCCTGGTTCACGCGATGTCAGATTAACATACATTCAGACCCATCCATCTATATATCCTTCCATCTACCCATCCATCCTCTCGTCCACTCATATATCATATCATTCATTCATCCCAATCAACTCAGCCTATTATTCGATGTGTCCATCCATTCATCGCTCCCCACGTTTCTTTGCACACATACCCGATACAATCCATCACTAATCTCGGCTACCTACTCAGCAGGTATCTCAGGCAACACGATGTTGTTGCGCGTGGGCTCGATTGATACTTTTAAAAAACAATCACCCTTACTGTCTTTACTTGCTTGATGACAGTAAGAGAGAAGCATCACAGTATGAGACCCTTGTTTGGACCTGTTTAAATGCCCGGCTCTCTAGCGTAGTTGGCTAAACCGGATTGCGCGGTGAGCGGGTGACGAACTCCATGTGGTCCGGGAGTAGGCATAAAAGCCACATTTCTCCTAGCCTTACGGTATTTAAAATGGAATCAAGGCCGAAGGGTTGCGATATCCATAATACCGAGCCTAAGGATTAACAACTCATGGCTTCTGGATACTATAACAAAGCAACAAACCTATTTCAATTTATCAGCACACATATAGGCAGATCCATCCATCCATCTACCATTGCATCCATCTACGAACGTAACCATCGTCCCGCCCATTCATCTACCCACACCATTTGTCTCACCATCCACTTAATGCTATTTTTTACCGCTTCCTTCCATTCTGGCTGTTACCAGCCTTACACTTGGGCTCTACCAATACTTTGTATAAAAATCACCCTTACTGTCTCTATTTTATAGCGGACAGTAAGAGAGAAGCACTGTGTTACTAGACTCATGTTTTTACCTCATCTCATATTTGATCGATCAATCCATCCATCTACGATACCATTCATCCACTAATACAGTCATCCATCATTCCATCCATTCATCTACCCACCCATCCATCCATCTACCATTCCATTCATCAACTAATACAGTCATCCACCATTCCATCCATTCATCTACCCACCCATCTATCCAGGACACACTCGCCTATCCACACCACCATCCACACATGCTGTTTTCCCATCTATCCCTTCATCGCTCCCTTATACTCTGGTTGTTACCAGTCTTACTCTCGAGCTCGACTGATTACTTTTGTACAACAAGCATCCTTACTGTCTCTATTTGATAGCTGACTGTAAGAGAGGAGCATTTATCTATCTATCTATCTATCTATCTATCTATCTATCTATCTATCTATCTATCTATCTATCTATCTATCTATCTATCTATCTATCTATCTATCTATCTATCTATCTATCTATCTATCTATCTATCTATCTATCTATCTATCTACCTACCTACCTACCTACCTACCTACCTACCTACCTACCTACCTACCTACCTACCTACCTACCTACCTACCTACCTACCTACCTATCTATCTATCTATCTATCTATCTATCTATCTATCTATCTATCTATCTATCTAGCTGTCTGTCTGTCGATATTTGTTTGCAAGCACAGGCACCACTTTTATTCCACGCGGATGGACTAAGGTCATCCCCACAACCCAACCCCGGTTACGCCCTATAGGCCAACCCCTCCCTCCCTCCTTAGACACCTAGTGTACGCTGTTGGCGTCCAGCCCGTCCCCTTTTTTTTGCCCCTACTTGCGCGTTGGAGGTATATAGGCTGACCGTCGTTTCATTTGAACGAAGTTTTTTTCGCCAGGGACACTAGATGAGTATCGTTTATTTTATTCATTAGAGTCCTATGTAGTCACTTTATAGTTAGAGCATATTTGTGTATGTGTACTGTGTTGTCCTTTATGTGCTGATGAAGGCTAATCGCCGCAACGTCTTTGTTTGTTTATTGTGATCGATTTTGTAAAGCTAACATAAACTAATTGTTGTTTCTTACCAACTTTTTCTCTTCCCTATAATTTTCTACTCCTTATAAAAACTTGTGTTCCTCTAGCGCTTATACCACGTTACAGGGCCTGTCCGAACGGATTGGTCGGTTATTTTTACGACGTTTTCCGTTTGCACACCACCTTGTAGGTCAACTCCATTGATGAGTTGGTTGGACTAGTCTACCGTGGTCGAGGTTAGGGGTGTCGCTGTCTGGTATTTACGTTTTTTATTTCCGAGAAAGAGGCGGCCTGTGACAACGTTTTGTCACTCTCTAGGGGGGGGGGGGGGTTGTGTGTTATACCCAGTATCTAAATGTTATAGTAGTGTTAAAGGCTCTAGCATGGTGAAATATACAACACGCGGTATGAGCGAGATTGCGGAATATCCCCGTGTCATTGTGTGAAAAGTTGGATCGCTCGATGCCGACCTATCCAAGGCTGTGATATCTGTACCTTTCTGCCCAATACTTGTGATTTCAACAAACCCTTTCTAGTCACCTTTAATGACATGCTTGTTTAGTCCACCCACGAGCCCACACAGACAGTTATAATATAAATTCTTCTTTAGTGTACATTTTTAGAAGTACAATGTTGTTAAGAATTAGACAAATTTTTATTTTCCTAACAGACTAGAGCCTAACCTTGACTTCCATCTCTTCACAGATGACACTGATAAGCCAGAAGTATCTGGCCTTGTGGATATAAATGGAAACCCAAGAATTTCTGACATAGCAAGCAACCCACAGATGCGTCAGCTGCCACGAGGCAAATCAGAGAATGCAGCATTAGGTAGTCTGGCAGCAGCCATTCCTCAGTCTTACACCTCCTCTCTCACAGAAGCACACGCACTTGACCGCAAGAAGGAGCGCAAGCGCCTGAAGCTTGAAAGACAAAAATGGACACCGGCAGAAGCGTATGAAGATCATAAGGACTTTAGTGACATTAAAGACATTCTGGATTATGTTGAAGGTGGAGCTGCTTCTGCATCTAAAGCTGAAGGCAGGTTGGTGAAGAAGAAACCAGAGCGAAGCAGAAAGAAAGACCACCATCTCAATGGGACTATTGCATTAGAAGACACAGCAGGAGGTATGTTCACTTTCTCTCATCTGCTCTCTGAATCTGTGACTCCTGTATTATTTATCTTTTATGGTTAGAAGTCACGTTTTAGTCTGCAATCACTTCACATCATCGCCCAAGATTTCTTGACCTTCCATTCGTAAGCGGTGACCTTTCGCACGGGTGCCACATTATGTTATTGTCAACAATCTAAGCATTCTGTTTTCCAAGTTGGAGCGATTTTACCGACTCCAAAACAACTAGAACTGGCCCTAGCCCCTACCCCACACCCTCAGCCTACATCCTGCAACTAGAGTGCAGCCTACGTTCATGAATGTAGGCAGCTTAGGCCCCACTAGTGTAGGCACCCTAGGTCCCACGAGTGTGTGCAGCCTAGGTCCCACGAGTATGTGCAGCCTAGTTGCCTCGAACAAATGCGCGATGCATGCAGAGAGCGGTAAAGGTGAGAAACAAGGGGTAGAGTGAGATACATATACATATACTGCAGTCCTGATATGTAGAGATGGCGACTCACAGGAACAAATGCTTAGGCTAAATCCCCTAGAAGATAGTGCAGCGTGTGGGAAAGGCCACCGCTCATGAATGAAAGGCCAACAAATCTCGCGTGATGATATGAAGTGTCTGTCTGTGAACAAAAAGGTTACTTCAACCCTTTTATGTCTTGTATGCGCAAAAGTGGCCTTGATAGGCTGTGAGCGGCTTATTTTTTCCTTTTTCTTTCATGAACTGTGAACATGAGCAGAATCAGTCAACAGTTTAAGGCTGACTTGCGTAACTAATAATGCTACATGGTTAGTTGGTAACTGATCTCAGCTGTTCAACAGAAAATCTGTGTGTGTCTTGTGAAATTGCCACGTTATTCTGGCTGCCATCCTGCCTCCAACTAACCCCACAGTCACTAACCATTAACATTCATTTGAGTTATTTCCCTTGAGAGCCTGTTTATTTTGTTTGAGACTCTGAAGAATGAATTTTGGGGGGAAAAAACTATTTCCCTGCTTTCTTTTATACTGGGAGGCTGGACAGTGAGTCGTGATGGCATAATGGCCAGACCCATTTTTCTTAAAGTGGGTTGGGGGAAGGTGACTGCGGAAAGCATGGCCCAGCGAAACATTTTTAGAGCAATCTTTATTGCGTGTAGGCCAGCCTTCAGTTTTTTCTTTTTAATAATTTATTTGAATTTTTCAAGTTTCTGTTTGTGCGTTTGTGTAATATTAGTCTCTTTTTGTATTTAAAGAGCAACATACACCAATCTGTATGTGAAGAATGGGTCATTTAAAAAAAACAGTATTCCCTCCACTCAGAAACAAAACCAGATTAGGGATGTTCCCTATTGAACCACAAGTGAATGAAATTATTAACACAAGACAATAAATAGAGCATAGAATTATTGGGAAATAAACTGACTGGCCAAGGTCATGTGTAGATAAGTAATGTAGCCTCTTCAAGTTGTAGGTGTTTCACTGTCAGCTGAGTTGGGGGATATGTGCTCAGTGAAAGTTGTTAAATCATAGGCCCCTTTTTTTCATGTGATTGGTTCTTCAGACACAGGTTGCTGAAACTGTACCGTCGGCATTATGACAGCTACCTTTACTTCCTAAGACATATCCTGATACTCGTTTTAGACTAATTTGATCCGCCAGGAGCTCAGATGTAGACTAATTTGATCCGCCAGGAGCTCAGATGTGTTATATAAATATGTCTCGATGCTGATTTGAAGATGTTTAAGCCTACAGGCAAACATCTAGCCACAGCCTGGCTGCAGTTAGACACTATTGATTGACAACTCCCATGTGGGTTCTGGGGTCCTGTAATAACGAAAACAAGAATAGACCTTAGTGCTTACCCAAAATAATATCGTTAGAGTAGAATTGAAAGCTTCCTTCGAAGTTGGAGTGCCTCTGCCAGAGGAGCAAGAAACCAACAGTCTGTGTACAGATGAGTGGGATGTGTAAAACAGATGTGCATACGGCACTCGGGCTCTGGTACAGGACTACAGTCTGGAAATGGGTACAAAGTGTCTTGGCATGTAAGTTGGTCTGCATGTTGACTATAGCTTCTGCATAGTGAAAAGGGTGCTAAAATGTAACCATTCGTTACCATATGTGGGAGTTGGGATTGTCAGCATTGCAGATAGATTGCGACAGCCGAACATCTAAGAAGACAGGTGTAATGTACATGCAGTGGCAAAGATGATACCTCTCGTGCCCTTATTGTGCCAGATTGTCTTCACATTAGCTGCTCTTGCTAGTGACACTCACCATCACCATGGGCTGTGACTTGCGTGACTTCCTATAGTATAATGAGAGTGTCATCTGGAAAGACAGTAAGTCTTCAAACTGTGTACAAACAGTTCAGAGCTTGTATTTTAAAAGATTGTTTTCTTTAAAATATTTTTTTTTATTTTCTACAGCTGAGGATGGCTCAAACTCCGTGGAATCTGTGGCTGTAGCAGCCACTGGAGGAGCTGGTCTGGATGCAATGGGCAATAGTTCTGTGAAGCCACAAGGAGAAACTCAGGTTATTCCCAGAGCTGATTCTTCTGAAGATATTTTTGACAAAAACATTGATGAGTTTCACGATTGTCTGAATATACCGTCGACGGAAATTGTGATTTCAAGCAGAGATGACAAACAGCCCCAGAGTGACAGCTCTGAAAATATTCGGAAATCTAGCTCAGATGAAGCAGATAATAATGATTCTCATTCAAAGGCAGAAGATTTTATTGAGAGAAGCGTAATAGAGAAAAATAAAATACTGATCAAGAAGTCTGTAAAAACTAAAAGCAGGAAGGATAAACAAGGGCCTACAAAGGAGAATGGTCCTCTGAGTTTAAAAGTAAATATGGTGAAATCTAAGGAGAGTTTAGACATGAAAGATTCGTTACTAATTACATCTGTGCACACTGAAAATATCTACAGCTTCCATAGCTCCAGTGATACAGAAATGCTATCAGAAAGTCGGAAGGAAGATTCTTTTACTGAGGTGAAGAAACGAAAGAAGAGGCTTGGTGGAAAGGACTTCAGTGTGGCCTCTGCCAAATATTCTTCCACTGGTATGTACCATGTACACAACATCAGTGGTTACACGCAGCGGAACATCCCCCGCCCTCGTCCAGTAACACCCACTCTGCCTGCAACGGTGGGGATTGTTGGTAACAGCCGTTCTCTGCCAGTCACAGACCAGGCTCAGTCATCTCGAGATTTGAGTCCATCAGCCTTCCCAGTGCTGCTGGGTCATGGTCCTCTGACACCGCACACCGATAACAGACGAAACTCCTGTGGGGACCTCAGTGCTGATTTTATAGACAACAAAACTTACGACAGTGACAAAGAATCTGCAAAATCTTTGCCTGATGCTCATAGGACCAGGATTGGTGGGAATGTGTCTCCGATTTACCAAATGTCCTATGCCAGAATAGCTGCAGCTCCTCGCAGAAATGACTTGACCAACAGTCCCAGTTCTGAGTCGGGTGTGGCCAGCGGGTCACAGAACAGCAGTGTCAGCAGCAGTGTGACCCACACACCTGGCAGCAGCATTGACATCATGTCACCACAGTCTCCTTCAAGTACAGTAGGTATGTCCGATAGAAAAGCAACCGTATGGAAAGGTAGTCCACGGGAGCGCCGTCACTCCATTGGCTCAGGCCCTGAGGATAAGACTGAGAAAGAGAAGTCGAGTGTTGCCCAGTGCAGTCGCCAATGTGGCAGTCAGGAGGTGCTTAGCAGGGATGCTGTCACATCTGCCAGGGCTAATTCTTCAGATACCATCACACCTCCACCACCAATGCCAGCTGAAGTCCTTAACAACAGCGTGAGCACAAGCAGCTTGCAGTCGGACTTAGACATGCAGGATGGTTCAGTACAGCAGCAGGAGAACCTTGTTTCTCACAAACCAAAACACAGTTCAGGCCCAGTGCATACAGCTACCAGAGCACCAGTCCAGAAAATTTCATCGGAGAATACATCACCTCAGAGTAATAATTCCTGTCCTCAGGAAGTTTTCAGTACTGAGGCTTGTCAACATAGTAGACCTACAGGCACTGCCATTGGATCCTCTAGTGGAGAGCAGAAGGTAGCCTCACACCTCACAGTTCCAGATCCCAGCACAGCTAAGAATGAAATACATCAAGATGCAGCAACGGTTTCATCAGTAGTGCCCGTTCCTGTTGTAGACAGCATTGTCAACACCTCATCCTGTAAAGACAAATTGGCATCTAACCCACAAGCCACTAAAAAGACTGCAATTAGCACAAAGTCTGTTATTTTTCTGGACAAGCGGTTTAGTTCGTCTCCGCAAAATCTGGGAATAACCTTTGGCTTTGACTCTAGTTATGAGTCCGTGTGTGAGCCAGCTAGTCAGTCTGCGAGTCAGTGTCATCAGCTGTCAAAACCACAGTTAGCAGCCATGTCATTATCTGACACAGCTGCTGGTTTATTTGTACAAGTGTGTCCAACAAGCCAAGCTCACATTCCTCCTACAGACAGTGCTGCTTTGATTTCATCTGACCATAAACTCTTTCAATCTTCCTCTCCATATGGTGATAATAGTAATCTAGTGCCAAAAGGTCTGCACATACAGGGACTGTGTAATGGGTTGATTCTTCCATCCAGCACTGCAGGAGACAGTGTGAGACTGCAGGATCAGAATGCCAGTTCTAGTATTAGTAATAGTAGTGAGAACACTGTAACAAATTTAGCTTCTTCCAATAGGACTAGTCTTTCAAAGCTGAAGCCAGAGGCACTGACAAATCACAGAATAGCAACGCCGAATTCAGTGAGCCTGCCCAGGCAGATCAGTAATCTACTTTCTGGTATGCCCAATGGGCCCCAGGCTCAAGTCAGTCAGTTAATGCCTCAGGTACCGGCAGGGACCTCCTGTGTGGCTCTCGTACGAGCAAACCCCACAGATGTGATATATTCGCCCAACCATCCACCACCACCGCTTCCACCAAAAGTGGTGGCAGTCCCCGGAGACAGAAGCAACACCAGCAGCTCTACCTCTTTATTGCCTTCCAGACACCAGTCAATTCCAGAGACTGTCAAATCTCCCAGCTGCACAGAATGCAGCACTGATAAACTTACTGCCGACAATATGAAGCCACCTTCAGGTAAAGAAGCTGTAGGCATAGAAAGTACAGTGGATAAAAACAAAACATTGACACTTCCACCAACGATAGAGGCAGTTTCACAAAAGCAGCCCCAGTTTGCAGCACCAGCAGATGTTATACCCATTGTCTACGGTGGAAAGATCAAACCAACTACAGGATGTGGAACACTGATGTTTGTGCTGAACAGCATTTCACAGACTAGTAAAGATGGCTCTGCAGAGGCTGTCAGCTTGCTTAGGAAAAGTGAGTTGTTTCTTAACAGTTCTGCTCCTGCTTCTACATAAATCCACTCCATTCCACTTTAACTCCTGGTGCTACTTGAATCCAGTCCACCCCAGTTGTCACTTTAACTCCTGGCCCTCATACATCCACTCTGCCCCAGTTGTCACTTTAACTCCTGGTGCTACATACATCCACTCTGCCTCAGTTGTCACTTCAACTCCTGGTGCTACATACATCCATTCTGCCCCAGTTGTCACTTTAACTCCTGGTGCTACATACATCCATTCTGCCCCAGTTGTCACTTCAACTCCTGGTACTACATGAATCCAGTTCACCCCAGTTGTCACTTTAACTACTGGTGCTACATGAATCCAGTCCGCCCCAGTGGTCACTTTAACTACTGGTGCTACATGAATCCAGTCTGCTCCAGTTGTCACTTTGACTACTGGTGATACATACGGTCCACCCCAGTTGTCACTTTATCTTCTGGTACTACACAAATCCACTCTGCTTCCACTTTTCAATTTGACTCCTTCTGTCTTGCGGTATTACATATAATTGTAACCTCTTCATATTCAGAAATGTATTATTTAATAAAGCGACTTCTGCTGAAAATGTAGACTTGTCCTCCCTGAAACTGAAAGAGTGGAGAAAAAGTCAGGTTTAAAAAAAAATGCAGAGCCTTTTATTGTTTATGCTATTGGTTTATAGACTCCCTTTTGCACACCAGTGGGCACTCAGTGGGTGATGTGGAACCACATTCCACCAGGAGTTTAAGAACAGTTGCACTGAAAGTCCATGTCATGTGGCATTGACCATTATGTCAGCTCACAGATTTTCGTCATATTGAACTGCCAATCATTTTTTATAACATGATGCTTAGCTTTCTAACATCTTCTCTCTTTCTCTGCCCCTGCCTTTCTTCCCCTCCAACGTTCCTGTTGCTGTACAGTACTCCAGTTTACACCTTCTCATCATGTGCTCACAGATTGATTTAGATCACCAGTTTTATTTGTGAGTCACTTCTTTCAAACCATTAAATCTGTATTTGTAACTCTCTCATCAGTCTTCTATAATACCACATCTCAGCAGATTCCTTGTAATTTCTCACCAACTCGCATGTCTTCGATAATAAAACCACATCTCAGCAGATTCCTTGTAATTTCTCACCAACTCGCATGTCTTCGATAATAAAAATACATCTCAACGGATACCTTACAATTTCTCACCAACTCGCATGTCTTCTTTAAATAAAACAGCATTTTAGCAGATTCCTTGTAGTTTCTCACCAACTCGCATGTCTTCGATAATAAAAATACATCTCAACGGATACCTTACAATTTCTCACCAACTCGCATGTCTTCTTTAAATAAAACGGCATTTTAGCAGATTCCTTGTAGTTTCTCACTAGTCTACTAATTGTAAATGATTCCCTTCTCTACATCATGGCTGGCTGCATATAGCTCTTCACATGCTGAAGTTTAACTACTGTTTGTTCATACTATTCAAACATTTGCTTGGTCTCCTGTGTTTACCTGGGTGACTCATGAAAATTAAAAGCAGTGGGAGATCAAAAAGTTAAAACACTGGTCTTGCAATAAGAGATCTGGGTTCTGATCCCTGATAAGCCAAGGATTTGTTTTCTCCTTTATCTCCTACCCTTTGTCTGACATGGAAGCATAGGCAGTCATACAACTTAGTCCAGGTCATCCTGTCTGCCACCACCTTCTGCATCTTTCCTCCTTTCTTCACCTTGGTTGACTGAGTTTGTGTTTCATTTTTAGACTTGTTCATAGTTAATGGCTGTTTTCTTTGAATTGTCTGCATGATGGAGCCAGCATCAAGACCTCTTCTTCTCCAGTTCCTCTCGTGACCTCAACAGAAGGTTGGGGAGATGTGTGAGCATCTTCCGTGTGCTCTTTTTAATGCATTGTTTACATTGAGCGTCATTTCTTGAAGGCTGTCCTTGATACTGTCATTTTATCTTGACATGTCATTTCAACTTTTTTTTTATGGCCTTTCCCATGCTCTGTTTTTATTATATTTCATTAGCATGGCTGTCTGCGACATTTGGTACCAGGGCATTCTCATCAGGTGGCCAGACCACCTTATCTGTTAGTCTTTAATGACCTGTATAACTGCTTTCAGTCCTGATATTCTTCCGATCTCTTAATTTTAAATTTTATTTTCTCGTTTCTCTTGCAGATCTTCTAAAACAGCAAATCTCTTCGTTTATGATTTTATGCTCAGTTGTAGTACGCTGGTAGCATAAAGTTGGTAAAAAAATAATAGTTTTTTGATTTATCTTAGTAGGCAGAGGTATTTTTCTGTGTGTCAAAAGTAATGTTAGTTGCCCCAGTACTTTATTTGCTTTTGCACATTAAGTGTTGATTTCTATGTTAATTTTTCCTTGTTATGTGGAAATTGACTCTAGCTATTTAAATCCACATGTGTGTTTCAAGTCTGCTATCTCTTCTGAAATACTATTTCCATCTTCACTTTCTGCATCTGTGCATACACATGTATTGTGCCTGTACATAATAAAAAGTAGGGGAGATAGCATCTATCCCTGCTATACTCCTAAATTTACACCCAAAAGTTGTTAATGTACTTGGTGTTTGTGTGTGTGTGTGCACATTCTACTTGATTAATATAAACTCTTGCAAATTTCAGTAAGATGTTGAATTCCAGATCTCTTTTAGCAGTCCCAGAACATATCTCTTTCTACTCTGTCAAAAGCTTTTTCGGGTCTAAAAAGCGATTTTGTAGGTCTCATTATACTCCATATGCTATTTCTATACATTGTCTTCACTTAAATATTGCAGCTGCTATTCCTTCTGATTCCCATCTGGCTTTCTGATTGTTCTTCTTCCAGTATTGGTCTTGGTCTTATTTAAATAATGGCACAGAAACAACATATTGCACATTTGATTGCCTGGCATTTTTTTTATGTATCCCGTCAGGTGCTTTACTACAGAGTTAAATCAACATATAACGAAACACAAAATGAATCCTTTTCTTACTGGAGTTCATAAACCACATTTTTGGGTTTCTGTACATCTGTCTTTCTGAAATTCAAAATCAGTCACATGATTACCATGGTAACTTCAAATTGATCACCTGATCTTTCTGTTTACTAACATAGGAGAGCTTGATCGCTTTTAGCAAACATTTGTTTAGTGTGTGGTAAATAATCCTGGAGGCACAGTCTTTATCAGCTACATGTCCAGAGTCAAACAAATGATGTCCTGTTGAAGAATTGGGCTCTCTCTTCTTGGCTGATCTTGATGCAGGATCTCCACCCAGTTGTGCATGAAATCATTCAGGGATGTGGTTTGCCACTGATTTCAAGCTCTCTCCATCCAACCGATGTACAGCTCAGTGCTGATATCCCTCTGTAATTATTGCAGTTTTCCTTACTGCCTTTGTTTTTCCATTATGGTATGATTATTCCTGTCTGTCATATCTGGTGTTTCTTGAGTAAACCTCTTCAGCCTCCTGTTATGACTTATTTGGTAGTTAATCCTGACTTTCTTTAGAGCACAGGTAATGTGTCCTGACTGTATATGTTGCAAGTGAAATATAAATCTTACCATCTGCACTACCTAAACAACGGTACTGGCCTTTGAGCACCAGGCTCTTTCAGAAACCTTTTAAGTACCGCCAGCAGTGGTACAAACAAGAGGATGTTTTCTCCACACAGTTGGACATGTGGTGCTAACCCCAGATTTGAATAGACCTATCAGCATTTGATAGATGAAGTCAGTATCAAATCTGGCACCATCTGGTATCATTTTGTGATAAGCAGTTGGGGGGGGGGGGGGGGAATTTTTTTGGTCAGTTTCAGTTTTTTATTTTGTTATTTCTAGGTAATGTGTGTTGTGTTTCTCTAAACATTTCATTTGTGGAGAAAATCTGTTATTGAAATTCCTTGTGTGGGTTCCAGGGGACCATATATGGGAAGGAAGATAGACCTACTCCCCCATAACAATAAATAAACAGAGGGGAACCTCCCCTACTCCCCCATAACAATAAATAAACAGAGGGGGAACCTCCCCTACTCCCCCATAACAATAAATAAACAGAGGGGGAACCTCCCCTACTCCCCCATAACAATAAATAAACAGAGGGGGAACCTCCCCTACTCCCCCATAACAATAAATAAACAGAGGGGAACCTCCCCCACTCCCCCATAACAATAAATAAACAGAGGGGAACATCCCCTACTCCCCCATAACAATAAATAAACAGAGGGGGAACCTCCCCTACTCCCCCATAACAATAAATAAACAGAGGGGAACATCCCCTACTCCCCCATAACAATAAATAAACAGAGGGGGAACCTCCCCTACTCCCCCATAACAATAAATAAACAGAGGGGAACATCCCCTACTCCCCCATAACAATAAATAAACAGAGGGGAACATCCCCTACTCCCCCATAACAAGTATGTCCTAAAAGGTGAATAAATAATTAAGGGTTGGCTGAAGTCCTACAAGCTGTTGCGCTGCAAGGCACAAATACCACAGCCATAACTGTAAAACTTCAACACAACTTGCCAGCCACCTTTTTATGGACGACCAAAGAGGTTAGAAGTAAATATTATGTTTGCAGAAACAACATTGTATGATGTTACATTCGCTTTTGTTTGTGTTTTTTCAGAGTGGCTGGATGTCAGTGACACAGGAGGTGAGTGTCCTGTTCCATTACACGTACTAATACAGTCCTCTGATTGACTAGTGTGGGACAACAGAATATGTTGAAAATTGACTCAGAATCCCTTAATGACACAACCTGCAGTCTGAAGATTCTGGGTTCAGATTCTAATGGACTTCTTTTAAAAATGACCTTTTCTGCCAGGTTGACCCAGCCTTAAATGGGTACCAGGTAAAGTCCTGGGAAGTAAAGTCGACCAGCATGATATTGACCTCATCACATGCCAAATGGTCTATAAAATATAGGTCTAGCCCTGTGTGCCTAGTACGGATGAAGTCGTGGAAGACTTCTTTTCTAAACCTGAACTCCAAAAAAATTTTTGAAAAAACTTGGAGAGCAGTATAAGGTAATGTGAAACAGAGATGTGGAAATAATAACTTAGAGAGCAGTATAAGTTAATATGGCAACAGAGATGTTCAGATGACTTGGAGAGCAGTTTGAGTTAGTGTGACAACAGGGATGGTTGAAATAACAACTTAGAGAGCAGTATAAGTTAGTGTGACAACAGGGATGGTTGAAATAACAACTTAGAGAGTTAATGTGACAACAGGGGTGGTTGAAATAACCTAATGAGCAGTATAAGTTAATGTGACAACAGGGATGGTTGAAATAACAACTTAGAGAGCAGTATAAGCTGATGTGACAACAGGGATGGTTGAAATAACAACCTAATGAGCAGTATAAGTTAATGTGACAACAGGGATGGTTGAAATAACAACTTAGAGAGCAGTATAAGCTGATGTGACAACAGGGATGGTTGAAATAACAACCTAATGAGCAGTATAAGTTAATGTGACAACAGGGATGGTTGAAATAACAACTTAGAGAGCAGTATAAGGTAATGTGACAACAGAGATGGTTGAAATAACAACCTAATAAGCAGTATAAGTTAATGAGACGAGATTTTCAAAAAACAACTTGGAGAGCAGTATAATTAATGTTGTAATTGTATAAAGCAAAGGATGTAGAGATAATAGCCTGCATAAATCAGTTAACACTTGTGTGGGACAAAGGAAACTGAAAAAAATAACTTACAGTAAGTTAATTTAGCAGGTTTTTTTGGGGAGGGGGGGGGCAGAAAAATATTGAAAGAATGAATAAGAAAGAAAATGAAAATGTGTTGCAGAATTTTAATTGAATTTTGTGCAGGTATTCTAACTGCTGTTTTTCTTTTTTTTCTTTTTTTAGGATCCACTGCTTTTGCCACCCTAAATCAAGACTAGATCCTTGCCTGCCATTTCGACAAGAACACAGTTTCGTAATTCCACTGTACTTATCCACCAGTGTGAAATAATCACACACATGGAATAGTCAACGTCAAATCTACATCCTCCACTCAGTTACGGGAATCTTCATGAATGCAAGTGTAAACTGACATTATGCAAACTGTCATTCATTGCTTATATTTAGTTCAGATTTATGAGCATCATCAGCAAAACCCACCGCAGCTTCCGTGCTTTTGTTGTTACTCAGAAATGTGACCATTGAGGTACATTCATATATTTCATCTACATTGTTGACTTCGCTCAATCTCTGTTCTAAGTCAGTGATCATTATTATTTAAAGCAAAGACAGTCAGTGAGACCTGAATCATGTCATCAGCCGGGTGAGGTTTGAAGAATCTAGCACTGTTCACTTCTTAGAAAACACTTGTGAAATAAAAAGGTTTAAAAATGCTTGAAATAATGGATTTCAGAGTGAAATTTCAAGTGGGCTTTCAGGTGATATTGATTTTCATAACACCATAATGATTGGTGGATGCTGTAAAGGTGTATTTATTTGTCCCACTCATTCTAGGGCTTTCGTAGAATATGTTGGTGACACTGAAGCCAAGAGTTTTTTTATTTAGCTGAAGTTATTTGAGGTCTCTGATGTTGTTAATCTACTGTGGTGATTTCCTTAATCCTTTAAAGCCGGCAAGAGACAAATTGAGGGCCGATATTTTCTGTTGTTTGTGTCGGATTACTTCTGTTGAGGTTTATTTTTTATTACTGCCGTAGTTAAGATTTCATGTATTCCCCATATTATCACTTATATATGAGTAAACATGGAGTAGCGGTTAGTGTAATTACCCAGGCATTATTGAACTTCCCTAAAGGCAGGGTTATTGGTCCAACCACTGCAGCTGTAAGACCAACCAAACCTCATGAAATTGGGGACCAGACAGTTTTAAGGGGATTATCAGGAGAAGAAAGGCAACAAGGAGGGGAACTGACCATGCTACCTTCTATGCCCTGACCTAGACTGTGAAACCTTTAACACTTCACCCAGATGGCTGCAGCTGCCTTTATCTCTTTATCTACTGATATATCAGTAGAGTTTTGAAAGCTACACTTATAAAACCAATATTGAATTTGAGCATATGTGTCACCAGAAAGATCATGTGTACTGCTGACTTGACAGGAGAAAAATAACAGTGATATTTAGACTGCACATGAATAACAGGCTGAAATAACCAACCACTTGTTCAAGAAGCTAAAGATAAGAGACAGATTAATGAATGTAGCTGAGAAATCGGTAAAATATGTCAAAACATCTTCTGCAAGAGTGTCCAATATTTGCACTAATTGTTCTGCACGTGTGCCATTTTTTTAGTGTCATTACATGCACAGAATTGTGGTGGAGATAAAAAACATGGGATTGTGAAGTGGAGTTGCATGCACAGAACTGTGTGGGAAAGTTACATGCACAGAAATGTGTGGGAATGTTACGTGCACACAGTAATTATTTAATTGTCCAAATAGGCATTCAAATTGTAAGTTAAAACCTTTCAGTGGTCAAGTCCGCCAGTTGCTGCATTAACAAAAATAGGAATGAAATTGTAAACCAAATGGTTAACCATTAGCAGTTCCTTGTATCTACTGAATCATGTATTAACTTGTGAAGAAAGCATGTGTTAATGGGAAACCAGTTAAGTTGGGGAAAACTGTAGTATAAGGTGTGTGGAGAAAGATCCCAAGTAAAACAAAAATATAAAGGGCTGTTTTACACACCATTGCCAGACTGAGTATACAATGCTAGAATCATCCTTTCAGATACTGAGTGGCACTCGATAAGTGGTGTGATTTACATCACACTGTCCGCCGTTACTTCCCAGGTCTGTTTTATTAGATCTTTCTGTTTTATTAGTTTGAAAAGCAAGAGTGTTATTCAAATATTATCTATGGTTCTTCATGGCGTCTCCACAAGAAAGGTTGGCAGTACTGGATACGTGGCTACTGCTATTTTTTGGGAATATTGTGTTGTGATTTACCCATCTTTTCTACAGTGTTACTCTCATCACTCTGTGCAAGAGCCATGAGAACGGTCTGTTGTTCCCTATGAGCGATCACTCTGTGCAAGAGTCATGAGAACGGTCTGTTGTTCCCTATGAGCGATCACTCTGTGCAAGAGCCATGAGAACGGTCTGTTGTTCCCTATGAGCGATCACTCTGTGCAAGAGCCATGAGAACGGTCTGTTGTTCCCTAAGAGCGATCACTCTATGCAAGAGCCATGAGAAGGGTCTGTTGTTCCCTATGAGCGATCACTCTGTGCAAGAGCCATGAGAACGGTCTGTTGTTCCCTATGAGCGATCACTCTGTGCAAGAGCCATGAGAAGGGTCTGTTGTTCCGTTCCCCATGAGCGGAGGTTAGGATGAATTTATTTTATTGAAATTTTGTCCCTCTTGATTTTAATGCCTTTTAATAATCTTCATGATGTTTTGATGATAATGTTCATGTTGTTTTTTTTTCCTCTTGTTTGCTGAAGTGTTAGGATAAAGATAGACAGAAATGTCAGGTTTCTGTGATTTCACTTTTCTTCCCATTAAGTGTTGCCTGTTTAAAGAAATAGTCTGTGAGAAAGTAGTTCTATTATGAATTGTCAACTTTATTTGTTGTTGCTGACCTGCCAACTATTTTGATTTTGGCGGAATCATTCCAGTTTTCCCCCATTCCATGTGGAAATGAAGAATTCTGATTTAGGGAAGCGTTGTACACCTTTTAGCACTTTGTTTAATGAACAGCCTCAGAATGTCTCACCTGGCTGCTGTCTGCTGTGCAACAGTTAATATTATTGATAGAGAAAAGAAGGAAATGGAGACAGGGTAATATTTAAAACTCTAAGAAGTGCCTACAGTTCCATTTCCTGTGTTGTTGTTAGCTGTTGAAAGTCAGCAAGAGCCATTAGGTAGTGAAGTATAAGAAAACGCTTGTCCACACCTTGTTAGGAATCTGCCCAGTGAGGATTTAAACTAATGGCCAAGGGCAGTTGTTAGCCAGTGCATGACGGCTGCTCCTGTGAACGGGGTAAGGTGGGGGGGTGTCTCCACCTTTTAGCCCAGCACATCTGTTTTCATAAAATGCCCAGTTTTTAGCTGTCTACGACATGCTTCTTGGGGTCTGTTCTTATCCGCCTGCTTTCCAAATGGTGCCCTGAACCCACACAGGAAAGGAATAATTTAAAAAACTGAAATTATTTCAATGTAATCACATCTCTCAACAATAATTGTGAAAATTTACCAGGAGTCTGACTTCAGCAAACCATTGGGTAGCATTTCTTGGTTGTCTGTGGTTATTCTAGGCAGGTTTACTTTCACTAGTCTGCCATTATTTTCTGAATGGTATAATGCTTACAATGCTGTCGACATCCAGGCAAAGTCATCTGCTGAAAAATCGCCTGCATGACTTGTGTCCATTATGTCAGGATAGCAAAACAACATTCACAGCCCCTAAACCATAGATGCCGACTAATCTCTGTGCATTCAGTATTTTTAAACACCATTTTATTGACTAGCTGGCATGTGTGTGGTGAAAGATTCCAGAATTACAATTTGAAAATTATATTGCGTATATTGCTGTGGACATGCTGTTTAGTTTCTCAACATCCAAGTCTACTAAGGAATCTGTTGTTGCTGAATATTTGTTTTAATAAATAAATATATTTTTTTTTAATATTCCTATTTCGTGAATTGTGAACAGCAAGTTTGTTTTGCATTGTATTGTATTGTGGGTGTGTATTGGTATGGAGGAAGATTATGTTAAAGTTTCTTTACAATCAAGCCTGCCAACTGGTTGGTTGTTTAATGTGTTTATTTTTTTTTTAAATATAATTTTGGTTTATTAATGGTGAATGGCCTGTTTGATTTTCATGGTATTGTATGAGTGTTGGATTGTAACGAGATTATATACGTAGAATGTGGAGAAACAGATCAGATGTTTTGTATTCAAGATGAAGTAAACATATACAGGCCACACAAAAGTACTCATAGCTGAAATATCTTTAGTGTTCCCCCTCAAAAGGGCAGTTAATATGATGTGGTGTGGTTTACAGCTAAGCCGTGAAATCTGCGCCTTTCGACCCAGCAAACCTGATTTCGGCAGATGCCTGCCTTTTACAGTGTGCTTATTAGGGAGCAGTCAGCATGCACCAGGACTCAGTTATCCATAAATTGCTAGCTTTGTGCAGGTCATGACATCCTATCTGTTGTAAAGCTTCAGGATAAAGTTCAAGGACAAGCATTGACAGTACTATTGAGAATAGGATGGCAGCATTTGAGCTGAAATCTAGAAGTCAATCAACACAACTAGGAAGTAGAAATTGTTATGGTTTTATGTTTAATCAGTGAATAAACATCTTGGCATAAGGGTGTAATCCATAAGCGCTCCCTTTTACTTCTAATTCGAGTCTGAGTCTGAAGAATCTTAGTGCTGTGCACGAACTCCATTGCACTGGCGAGGATCCTGAAATACTTTAGGTAGATTTTTTACTCTAAATTTTGCCAGGGCAGCGCCGTTAGGCTGCTCTTTTCGAACTGCCAAGGATTTTTTTAACGTGCGCAGCAGTACACACGTGCGTCCAATCTTACTATCCAGAGATCAAGGGAAATTACTAGAAGTTCACGTGAAAAAATCCTAGCCTTCACCAGGGCTTGAACCTGAGACCTCCAGCATTCGAGGTGAACACCGTACCTTGAGACCACTCAATCCCCTGTTATGATTTATGATGCCTGTTCTATTGGTTGATACAGTTTGGTTGAAACACCTGATTTCCTTTTGTGCAACCTTCTCATTTATTTGTTTGGGTTTATTATTATTATTCTTGTTCTTTTATTAATTCATTTATAAAGGAAGGAAGAAAAAAAAACCAGTGTCAACATGTTTGAGTGTGTTTGTGCACATCCTTGCCTTTACTTTGTTAGTCTTTCTAGTCATAGTTTGTGTTCACTTACTTCAGAGAAAAAT